CGACCGGTATTTAATTTACATATAGTTTATTCTTTTTTTACACCTGGTTACAAAAGTAATCAATAAACAAAATACCTTCTTCTTTTATAAAACAAATTCTAGCTGGGGTGATTCTTTTTTTTGGATTATTTTACGAAATAATGATAACGGGTCAATTGATTAATATTTACTATTGTTACGTCGATATATGTGAGTATCAAAAAATATTGTATTGCATTTTTCAACCATTATTTCTTCTAAAATAGAGGTATGATAATTTTGCAACAACTATCATTATACTTGCAATATTATAATATGTATATCTGTTCTATGTATTTGTTCAAATTGCATACATATATTTCGTGTGAAAATTTAATAAAAAGGGTATTCACATTTGATGCATGGTTTTGTAAATTAATCTTAAAGTTCAAGATAAAGGGAATTATAAGGAAAACAGAAAAAGCTCAATATAAATACAACAATTTTTTAAAACCAATCTTAATTTTCATACACGCAGATAACATTTTAAAAAAAAAATAAAGTAGAAAAGTAGAGAAAATTTACTGTAACAAAAAGACAAATTAATTTGTATTTGTTAACTTTTGTAAATTATAATAAAAATGGGTTCCCTAAAAGGATTATAAATCCCTTTACGTGTATATAAAATTTGAATATAATTTTTTAATTCATTTCTGAAATTTTCATGAAGTAAAAGGAAGCAAACTTAAAATACAATTTTTGAAAAAACTACGTGTATAATTGCGTATGACATTTTACGCATTTTGTTCCTTTTGGAAGCCAGATACCGAGGAAAAAATAAAAGGAGAAAATGTTTTAACATAATTTTAAGGTTCAAGCTAAGCAATCTGAAATTTCATTCGACACTGAACGTATTTTACGTTAAACAAAATAGCTAATCGTCGTACATTCTTTTATAAGTCATCAAACAATTGCTACTTTTAAATAAGACCCCTATTACTAAAATAGATTTTCGTGAACAGTTTTTGTTTCTATAATGTGAACAGTTAGTAAGTATTAATTTCATTCTATAATTTAAATCATTTTTCAACACAAATTCGCGGTTATTTTAAATCTAAGAAATATTTGATAACAGAATCAATTTAAAAAGTAATAAATCAAATATCTGAGTGAAATTGGAAGTAAAGATAATACGTAATCAATATAATGAATATTACTACTCGTCCCAATCATCGGTATCTGGTTGGGAATCGTACTCGCTGGTAGCCGAATGTCTATCTGATGCAGTCGCATCGCTTGGTTTAGGAGGAGGAGGAATCATGCTGGACATCCTTTCCAAAGCGCTACCGCCAGACCCAGCAATTCCTTTTCTTCTAAGTGCTAATTTTGCGTGCAAATCAGCCATTAAATCTCCTCCAACAGACGCGGAGGACCAACGATTCCCTTTTTCTTCTGGCGGTACTGTGTGTCTTAATTTTGCCCTCCCTATGCCACCAGCGTTACGAATCGCTGCCATTAAATTCGACCGATCATCCAACTTTGTCGCTTTGCTCTGTTCTTTAGCGGTCTGTTTCTTTTCCAAATCCATTGTCTGAGAAACTGAAACAGTAGTTTTAGATGGAGCTGGTGGAGGTGGTGGCGGAGGTGGTGGCGGAGGTGGTGGTGGAATCGAGGGGATCAACGATGATGAAACTAATGACGAACGGTGATCGATCTCGGAGCTCAAAGTCGATGTGTCAGACGAGATTAATAATGGTTGTGGTGAAAGAGGAGGAGGAGGAGGAGGAGGAGGAGGAGGAAGTGGTGCATGTTCAATAGAATCTTTCGTGAAATCGTTGTTAACGAAGCCAGGTAAATTTGGTATAGTTTGGTCAAGTTTTACACTTGAATCTTTTTCATCCACTGCTGTAGTTGGAGTTGGTAGATCAAGCCGAACAGTAGGCGTAGTCACGGCTGAAGAAGGAGCAATAGGACTTTGAGAATTGAGGTCTAAAATGAATTTTTCATCATCCACAATTCCAGGTAAATCTGGAAGTGTTAGTGGTACATTTATCTGTGGCACCTGCAAGACAAAATATTTTATTTATTATTATCTCTTTATTTTACAATAATTTGTACATAACATTAAATATCTTTATATTTTACCCACAATATACTGACAATAATTGTTACCGAGCAGTATCTCACAGATAATAGAAACCCAAATTTTAATTAACCAGCACTTTGAATTATCTTACTTCGCCTAAAGTTGGTGTGTAAAGATAACTACTAGATGAATCCATTTCCAATGATAACCATGGTTGTATAATCGAATCTGGTGCATCTTCAATTTGTTGCTTGTCACTTGTTTTCTGAGAAGTTTGTTTCGTACATATTTTATAAGGATTATCCATACTGTTGAACAACAGTGCACTAATTGAAGACATATGAGGAGGAAATGATACGTCACTGTTATCCATGTAAACTTTTTTATTAGGTTTAGATCTAACATGATAAAATTGTAACTTTTCTTGCAAATTATTATTTGCCACATATTGACCATCTTCTGTTTTACAATTAGAAGATAAATATGTTTCAGGCACATCCTTTATAGGTACAGAACATTTATAAACCTTTGGGATATTATTAATGTTATTATACTGAGGTGGTATAGCCATCTCATATTCTTTGTATGCATCACAAGCAGGATATTTTGCAGCAGAATACATTTTGACAGCTTTTAAGTTTAAGTTATTTTGTAAATATTGTAAGCGATCTTGAAGTTTTGTAGCCCTATCTTTAACATTTGACAACCTATAAAAAGAACATATTAATCTTTACTTATCAACAATTAAAAATATAATTCCATAATAAATACCTATATATTATTCAAAAACTAAATATACATTAAAATATTAACAAATGAGAAACAAATGTACCTTTGACCATTTTCAAAAAGCCTTTTATCGATGCATTCAAATATATAAGTAACTGCAGAATCTAAATTATCAAGAGCTTCTGCTATTTGGACAATGGTTTCCTCGTGCCTTAAATTGTCAGGGATAACACCTAGGTATTAAATTTACATGTATATCCATAAGAATAATGTTTACAATAATTATTTTTGACTTTCTTTTGAAGAATGTCTTTGAGTTTTATTTTTAATTTCAATTTGTAGTTAGAGTATACTTAAGTTCTAACTTATAAGCTACCAATGATATATCTTTGGATAACAAGTCATTTTAGAGAACAAATTATTCTGTGTAATATTTATCATAAAAAACTGAAATTCTGCATAAATTGTTCGGGTGCATTTGGATTTGCATGTCATATACGTATGATATAATATGAAAACATAATCGGAATAAAAAAAAGACAGTACATTATATACGCACAAAAACCTATAATGCTTACATTTGCATGCACATGTTATGACAAAATTTTAAATGTTTTATGGCGAATTAATTTATTTACCGATTTCAATTCGTTCCGGCATTGTTAGGTTTAAAAGATATATATATTTGTTTCATTAAATGCAATATAATGTTTTACTCGAAAGAAAAATACTATTTTCACATAACTATATAAACATTTAACTGCCTATAAAACACATTTTAAATAAATTCTTTTTTTTTAGCTCACTAATATTACAAATTAATCTACTTCGTACGAAATCGTATGATACCATCAAAATAAATCTAAATCATACTCCTTTTGGAGAGTTTACATGTAGATGAATCCGCCATGAAATGTTCTTACAATTAGTAATATTTGTTCACATTTGTAAATAATTTCGGAGAATATAATAGTTTCTCACATACATATATTATAAAAATTTTCATTTTTTAGTTTCATACTGCTTATTTAAAAGACTGTTTCTATAAACAATTTTAAATACGTGCGTACAGAATAAAATTTCTGCGTATTGACAGCTTTCTTGACGTGAGACAAAAAATGCATTAATGATAAGTTTATTTTGTATTTTGTCTGTGATTGAAACGAAAGTATCAAGTATCTTTGTACCTGGTATTTATTTGTACCTATTCTTTCCTGTAATCAATGCATACATACAGGGTGTCCCGTAAAGAGTGTAACACCCGGAAATGAGGTGTTGCTGGGGTGACTCTGAACAACTTTTTCCTTGACCAAAATGTTGTTTGAAGCTTTGTTTTTGAATTATTAACGAACAACACTGGCCAATCAGAGCGCGCGTAGAGCTTATGCTACGCTCAAGCGAACAGAGATTCACCCACATCGTGACCAAGCGTACGCGTGAACGGCACCATGAATCGTGGGCTGTGGGCGAAAGCAGTTACCCCTACTATTGACCTACAGCCGTCTCCCACTATACCGTCCTCGTGCTCTCACACAAGTGTAACGGTAACTCTGTCCGTGTGCGAAACCTGTTCGGCTCTTTCCGCCAATTATCTACGTCACCACGTGACGCTGTAAATTCTGTAAAATATTTCATTTCAATGCGAATTTTTTATAAACAATTGAAATTACTTCTGTAAAACTTTACAAGTTTAGGCACTATTCAACTTAGAGGACTTAGGTCGAAAATTGCTTAATTTAGAAATTATAATTTTTGTCCCGAACGCTCATATACTCTGAAACACTGCGTCTCACCGAGATTCAAAGGGAACCTCCTGATTGTTACTCATGCGCTCAGGTTGCTCGAGCGTCACGTGGTGACGTAGATAATTGGCGGAAAGAGCCGAACAGGCTTTGCACACGGACAGAGTTACCGTTACACTTGTGTGAGAACACGAGGACGGTATAGTGGGAGACGGCTGTAGGTCAATAGTAGGGGTAACTGCTTTCGCCCATGGCCAACGATTCTGGCATCACTGAAATCAGTACCCTATCTTTCGCAGACTTATTCGCTTATTTGATGAAAGTATGTCAATGTTAAATTGTGAAAAGTTTATTGACATGTAGGTATTGTAAAAGTTCAAAATAAATATTAATATTTTGTTTTAAAATAGTTTGCTTATATCAACAAATATAGATTTATATATTTGAGTGACAATTATATCGATCGTCAAATGTTAATCATTTATATTATTTAGAGCACTGTGTAATATATTTTTTCATGTGTATAATTGTCTTTCCTTATTATTTAGGTTTCTTATTTCTAATGCAACATGGAATGTTTTTCTACAAAATAATACAAGATATAGAAGTTTTAAAATATATTGATATGCTATATCTTCAGTAGTAAAATTGATAATTATATTCCAAAATATGTCTATTTTACAATTTATTATAAGTGCAAATAAAAAAGCTAGAGTTATATTATTAAAACAAACTATATCATTAAATTTGAAAGTAAATCTAACCACAAAAATGAAAACACATTATGAGGTCTTAGGAATATCACCATCTGCTACATATAACGAAATAAAGACAGCATATTATAAATTAACATTAAAGTATCATCCTGACAAAAATAAAGGTGAATCTGCAAAAGAGATATTTCAAGAAATTTCAAATGCATATGATGTACTTAGCAAATATGAAACACGTAAAAATTATGACAGAAGTATGTCAATTAAAAATGAAAGTTTTAATTTAAAACAAAATGTTAAATCTAGTACAAATATCAAAGCTTCATATGTTACTAGACCCGTCAGTAACAAGATTTTTGATTTTGATGAATGGGTAAAAAATCATTATCATCATGGTTTTGCTAAAGAGAAAGCAAAAAAACAATGGCAAGACTTATTAGAACAACATGTATATAACCTACCAGAGATAATTTTTCTTTGTGCTTTAACCTTCATAATTACAACTGTATATGGTGGATATCTATATTATGGATTAGCTGTACAAAGAAAGAGAAAAAATTAAGATAAATAATTATATTGAAATGACATAGATATCTTATTAGTGTAGTAAAAAATTTAATTAAATGTATTGTTATGTGAAATA